CAAAAAAAAAAAAAAGAAAGAAAGAAAGAAAGAAAGAAAGAAAGAAAGAAAGAAAGAAAGAAAGACTATAAGTCTCTCGAATAATGTGCTACATTGTTTTGAAAGCCGCTTTTGAAAACCTAGTTGTTAAAAATCCAAAATCTGAAGAGATGCTATTTTTACTACATACAGTCAATATGCCACCTAACTCCATTGGGGGGGGGGGTACTGGAAATCGAACTCAAGACCTTGAGCTTGCAAGACAGACAGCAGAACCACTGGGCTAAATCCTGGCCCCTATTACCTTTCTTTATTAAAGAGAATTATAAGGGCTCAGAGGACACATACTACCATCAAACCAACTTCAGCTAAATCACCAGTGACTTAGCAGCAGAGACACTGGTTTCTTCCATACCAAACCAGTAACAAGGATGGACACCAGAATCGGCCCTGCCCATGATCAGCAATTGCTGAGATGAGACTTTGTTTCCCAGGTCAGAGGCATTCTCTTCCTTCATGATTCCTTGACAACTACTTCACAAATATCACTCACCAGGTGCAATGTCCATCACTGGGCAAGTACTTCACCTACCCATCTAGTTGAGTTCATTAGCTTCCTGGGGAGATGTGGAGATGTGTATGCTTATTACCACCACCTTACCAAGATGTAAGTCACTTTACTTGGACAATGTCAGTCTTATAGTGGGGTGGAGATGGGGGTTCAATTCCAGATCTGTTTGATTCCCAAATTCCTCTTCTTAATCTCTACTTACTATAAAGGCAAACCTGAACTTCCTCTGACTTTCTTGAACTTTTTCATTCAAGGTTTTTACCATTAGATTTCATTCCAAACTAAAGGACAGCAAGAAAGCTAGGCGTCCAGGTTAACATCAGCTTCAGCTATAGGAATAACACACAGTAATATTCACCACCCCAAGTCCTCCATAGGCTGCTAAGATAAAATTCAGAGCCAGGCATGGTGGCACACACCTGTAATCTCAGTATTCAGGAGGCTAAGGCAGGAAGATCATTGTGAGTTCGAGGCCAGCCTGAACTACACAGTGAGACCTTGTCTCAAAAAAAAGTCAAAATTCAGTGGCCTAGGATGTAGCTCAGGGATACAGCGCCTGCCTGACAAGCATGAGGCCCTCAGTTCGATTCCCAGTACCACCCCCAAAAAAGAAAAAATTCAGATAGAAAAGCTGTTTTCTAGGCAGGATATATATATATATAGGCCAATGATGGCAACCTTTTAGAGCTTCCAATGATACAAATAACCCACCGCAGCAAGTGTTTGATAGGTTTGCGAACACCCTCTCCCATAGTTCAGGAAGGCAAAATGAGCTCCTTGTTCCACAGAAGCCTCTCTCTTTGAGTCAGGCTGTTCAAGTCATGCCACAAGGTAGCATTGACTCTGCCCAGATGATTTAGAGGCTTTTAAAGATTTATGTAGAACAAGTAGTTCTCCACACCTCCCTTGTTTCTATGCATGGCGGGCTCCCCAGGGACTACTCGCCACTAGGTAATAAATAACCACGTTGTTTTGGACCTGCTGAAGGAGGCTCGGTCTGAGAGGAATGTGCCACTGCAGGACAGAAGGCCACTCACCCGGCAGGCAGAGCATCGGGGGCATGGGCAGCCACAGGGAGCTGCTGTGTGCCCGAAGTGCTGGGCTCCTCTCCTTCAGCCGGTGTGGCCGGAGCGGGAAGAGATGTTGCGCTCAGGTTGGGGGTCACACTCAAGGTGGAGGCAGGTGGGGACGTCACACCAACAACAGAAGGTTCTTCAAGATCAGTGGCTGCAGTGGATTCATCATTCACTGCAAATGCACAAACCATACTTTGACGATCAACTACGAATAAGAATTTTGTTTACACTTATAAGGTTCGATTTATGTGCTGACACATAGAGTACACTGTTACCCTATTATGAATCAGGCAATAGTGAAAATTTCACAAAGCATAACTTTGAAAATTATAGTAAGTCAATAATGCCTGTATAAAGGAAACCAGGAGAGGGCTGGGGATTTAGCTCAGTGGCAACACACCTACCTTGCAAGAGCAAGGTCCTGAGTTTGATCCCCAATATAAAACAAAAAGGAAATTGGGGAATGAATATATTAAATACTAACTCTTCTATAACTTTATGTTAGAGTTTGCTACTATATGATGGTTATATTTATTAATTTAAAAATTTGCATAAAGATGAGGACAAAAGCAAAACACATTGGTAAATGGAACAAGACCAGCACCAGGTTTGTAGGGTCACATCTTTTTCTTTAAATTTGTCATCTGTACGCTAGACACAAATAGCATCTTCCTTCAAACACTTCACACATACTAGAGGCAGAAAACTTCCAAAAGTGTGCTTGTTCTTTTAAAGACTCGTTTTCAAAGGAAGAAGCAGGTATTGAAGCTCTAGACAAAAAAGGAGGGACCCGAAACCTACGGACTTATCTCCAAGGTAACAACAAAGAAACAGTGAAATAAGCTAGCGAGTCCCCTATTTCCCAAGCCTTACTTCACCATTTCTTCACATCTCTGACGATCACTTATGTCCACGAAGCACTGCAATGTCCTCTAATTCAAAAACGATCAAACAAGGTTTCAAAGACTTGCGATTCTTTGAAAATAGGTGAGCCATACGCAGAGAATTTTTCACATATGTGATTGCACATGTGTACATTTATATTCAAGTTTCACCTGAAAACGCCTGTCAGCATTAAAAGCATCCTCTTCCTAATTCAGAAACCCGTTTTGTAGCTTTCCTAACAAACAGCTACCCAAATTTCTTCTCCAGCATTTCTCTTCCCAGGGCACTCACTACAGTTCATTGCTGAGCAGATGGACTTGCAAGAAAGTTTTTAAAACGTTTTTTCTTATGTTAAGCCCAATCCCACTAGCTGGTCTGAGTCCCCCACCCCCAAAGCAATGCAAAATAAGTATCTGGTGTATTTTCTGTTTCTCATTAGTCTTCTCTTTTCCAGTAAGAAGGCCTACTATTTCTTCAATGTTTCTAGGCCACTTCTCTTTGATAACTACTTCTACTGCTTTTCTGAAATAAAGAAATCAGGAACGGAACATAGGAAATTAGCTGCCATCAGATCAGCAGAGTCTGATTACCAATTTAAATGAGACTACGTTAATATTTACAGAACAGCGGGGGATGGGTACCTAATAAGGTCCAGAGCACTTTCTTTCAATTGTCTCTTTTAAAGCTTCACATGTAACTCTACAAATTAGGTACCATGGATGGGTCCTGGATTACAGGTGAGGAAGTTAAAAATCAAAGAGGTTAAATAGCCTGCTGAGGTCACAGAGGATCCAATTCACACCCTGCTTTCTGTCTCCAGGGCCTAAATTACTCACTCACTCCCGCTACTTCCTCTTTGCACACATCCTTTAATGTGAACCAAGATGAGGACACTTCTGAGCAACCGCTGGATCTTACTGGCTACCATGAGGCTGGTGGAGAGCTGCCACTCACAGGTCTTCACATGATGTGGCCCCATCCGGATGCTAACTTAAGCCCAGGAGCTGGAGGCTGGGAAGTGCCCGGAGGTATTCACTTGCTTTCTCCCTGGTATAAATGCTGCATGGCACACAGGCTAAATTAATTGTTTAATGGGTGACTAAATCTTGTGCACAAATGTTTCCCCAATATAAACGCAAAACTTTATATTTGTACTCCTTATTCTAACTCAGCCAAAGTAGGAACACACAACAGATGGTCATTCTCTTTATTCAAATTTATAAATTTTACTCAATTCCAATTTTATGAAAAAATTACAATATGATTTTTTTCAAATAAATTCACTCTAAAATTTATAAGGAAAACTAAATACATAAGAATAATTGCAAAAAGTCTAAAGTTGTAGGAGGCAGACTGGTCTCTAAAGTATTAAAACATATAATAAAACTACAACAATTAAAACAGCACAGTACTGGTGCATGAATAGGCAGATGTCAATTAAATAAATAAGAAAGTTCGAACTAGATTTCAATAATTAATTCATTGGAGTTTACAAAACACTTATATTCTAATTCTACTGCCCCGTCTTCATGTATTTGTTGGAATACTTCTATGTAAGGAAATGTCTTTTATTTACTATTTGGCTACACTGAGGTTCAGATTGTGAAGGAATGGCCAGGAGAAGGGCTTGATTCTTCCCCCTTATTAGATTTCAGAATAATGAGTTGATTTCCTGGCATTATCTAAAAATAAAGTTTTGTTTAAAAAGTATTAAGTATTAGCTTTAAACATATTTAAGGTATTTCTACTGTGGTGTTCTTATAGATACTAAGATTGTCCCCACTTTTAGTAGAATTAGAGGACAGCAGGGAAATAAGCTCTTAGTTAACTTCAAATTCTACTGAAAAACTGCAGTGGGAAGTGGGAAGGTGCCAAGCAGTGGACACACTACCCCATCATTTTTGTGTGGGATGTGTACATGTGCGTGCATGTGTGTATATGCTTCTATGGTCAAAGAATAACTTTGGAAGACTAACAATAAATACGATAACAGTAGCCTCTAAGGAGGAAACTGGCTAAAGAATAAAATAGTATTTTTTTTTTTTTTTTGAAAAAGGGTCTCTATTTATGT